CGGTTCTTTTGATAAGTATCGATATTTTCTGAAAAACTACAAAAATGCCTGAATATCTCCTACCACACTCAGAGCCGGCCATGTCTAGTGACATGAACCTGTTCTCCGTACCGGCATCGTTAACGGAACGTTTCAGCTATGAGACACAAGAGTATGGACCAGAGTCGGCGCCTCCGGAAGACTCACCATTAAGCGGTAACCTGTCTTTCTTTATCCGCCGTCATCCAACGGTCTGCTCTCGCTCACGGATACGTGTTTTGAGTGTGAATTAAGTATAAAGAAAAAGAACGCCACAAATGCATGGGTGAACCTAGAGAACAATGATAACGTAGCGCCTGTTAATTATATTGTGCATAGTTTGTTCAAACAAATTCATTTTACTGTGGCGAACAAGGTGATCTCTGACTGTTCACCTTATTATCCCTATCGCGCTATAATGGAGGTTCTAACAAGTTATACTGAAGATGCCATGAAAAGCCAGCTAACGAGCGGCGGATTTTATTTCGACACACCAGGCAAGATGGAACATGCCACAGAGAACACTGGTGAAGCAAAGCGCAAGGAGCTATTTGCTTTAAGTGCTAGCGTTCAGTTATCGGGAAAGATTTTCACGGACTTATGCGTACAATCAAAACCTTTGCTCACAGGCGTGCCCGTGCACGTTAGCCTATACTTTAACAATTCAGAATTTTATTTACGATCATGGAATACTGGTGCGGCGGCTGCAGCAGAATACAAGGCATTTATGAAACATCCACGCATAACCGTACGACGCTATATCCCATCACCGGATTTCATGAACGCTATTACACAAAGTTACAAACAACAACAGCCAAATACCACATTGAACGCGCAGAATTAAAGGCGCGTGCTATTCCTACTGGCACCCAAACCATAGCCTTTTCTGACCTCAAGTACGGCCAACTACCTAAGGTGGTATTTATTGCTTTTGTGCAATCGGACCGCTTCCATGGCACAACAAGCCTCAATCCGTTTGTATTTGATCATTGTCGCGTTCGTCAAATCTGTATTAATGTGGATGGGAAGCAATACCCAACGATACCCTACATGTGTGACTTTCCAAACAACCGCTATTTAAAGTGTTATGACGGCTTCTTGGATGTTTTGAATCAAAAAAACCATCCAGCTGGAGCCCATATTCTGGATCGTCATACATACGCAAAAGGATACACAGTGTTCGCTTTTGACCTGACGCCAACGGCTACAGGCTTAGGGCCCATGACGCTAATTCGATCAGGGACAGTGGGCCTGGAAGTAACTTTTGACACACCACTAACTAATGCCTATCAAATGCTGGCTTGGATAACGTGCGACCATTTAATAGAATTCACCAATTTACGCCAGGTTATTTGCGACTTTGCGTCGTAATTAAACAACAAATCGTCACAATGAACGAACAGGAAATTCGGAATATCATGTGGTCACAGTACAACCCCGCTTCGCACATGCTGAGATCGGTGTTTCGCGGCGTTTACGCCCTAGATGAGCTACAGCAGCAGCATCTTACAGAGGTCGACCTACCTGCTGCGTTTATTGTAAACACTGATCCAGCCAGCGAACCCGGAACACATTGGATTGCCGTCTACGTTGAGTGCCCCTCATTTATTGAAGTTTTCGATTCCTACGGCAAACCCGTGGCCTATTATAGTCAGTCACTTGAAAATTTTCTGAAAACGCAACTCATCGGCCAGCCTGCGTCATCACCACCGTTGCCCCTATACGAACAGCGAGCTGTTTTACAACAGCCATTGTCCACTACCTGCGCTCAACACTGCATGTTTTTTTATAGTAATGCGATCAGTATGTCGCTTTTCCTATTCCTACATCATTCATAACCTATATCGAATTGATAATCAATTTCAAAACGACTTGATGGTTCGTAACTTTATTAATGACTTTTCAATGCAAAAACACGTGTTTATAATTTTGAAGCATTCTACTAACAATTAAATTGCAATATTGCCCTCGCAAAATCAAAGGGAGGTGCGCTGCGCGCACACCTTTGGTTTTGCAGAGAACCCGCGTAACAATTAAAATGACAAATCGACTTGGGGCCGCCAACGCGAATCAAAATATTTACAAATAACATCAGTAATAAATGATTACGAATATACTGAAACTGATGATATAGCGATTAAAATTACCTAAACGAGCTAAGATGATTGCTTGAAAAACCAAACAGGCACACACCACACATACACAGAAACATTCATACTAGTTCAGTTTGAACTGCTCCTTGAAACGCTGCAGCATTTCAGCACACAGTCGATCTCCGTGCATTACCAGAAATTCGTCCGGCTTGAAGTGGTACGCCTCCAGCAAGTTGCGTTCCGCATTATGATGCGAGTGCGCTGCTTCGTCAGCATAGCGGTACGGCAGTTGCTTGAGAAACAGCCCCAGCAGAGTCTTTTCCACATCCTTACAGACATAGCTTCGCATACGGTCCGTTAGTTGTATACGATCCGAGTAGCGGCATGCAGTATGGCCATCATGAGCTCCAGGTTGCAGCGGATCAGCAAAGGTATCCTCCATAAGGTGGCAAAGCTTGCATTCTTGCGTCAGGCGTTTGCAAAGCGCTCCATCATAGGCCACGGTAGCTTCTCAAAAATATCCTGGTAGTCGGCAGCAGACTTGCATGGTAGGTACCCGGATCGTCCCTTCAGCACCTCATACGTATGCTTAAGGATGGTTCCGTTGTCAAAGTTCACAGAACGCCGTCCAGTTCTTTTCACTACAATTGCAACAACCACAACAACCATAATAATAATATCAATAAGCTAAACGGTTATGAAATAACCAAAAAAAAAAAAAAAAAAAAAAACAAAACATAAGTCGTTTTCAGGTAAACCCGAATGTTGGCAATGGGTACTTCGTCAAGCCTGAGGAGAAGCAACCGCAGAAATATAATAATGTGCCATGAAACAAAAGCACAAGGTTGTTATATGAATGACTTTCTTACCATCCCCAGTTAAAGTAACCTCCGCCCAGGTCATGCATTGCCGTAATGGGTGTAGAGCCTTCGTCATAATTGATCAGTCTTTCCAGTTGTCCACACAGTTGTAAACCCATTAGTTTGGCAAACTGCTTCGCATCTAACTCGACATGCTTGGACGCTAAACTCGGAACCCACTGACCCTCCTGATTTTTATCAAACTCCCCAATAATGTATCGCAAACGGTTGTTCATCAAGTAAACTGCAATGAATTTTTCTCCTCAAATTTAATTACCGGCCCACCTTCGTACTGAAATGCAACCTGCCCTGGGTAAACCCACGCCGAGCTAAGCTAACTGCATCGGTTTTGGGCTTATACGAGTCCGCGGTGACCTTACGTTTCTTAGTACCAGTAATAGTTAATGCCCTAACAGGCTGAAGTGATGCCGGAATAGTCGACAACGATGGTGATGACGACAAGGCAGCCAAAAGGTCACTGTTATCACCTGATACACTATCTACGCTTCGCATTGCAGCCATTGCGGTGAAAATTTAAAATACTCACAAATAACGGTAACACGCTACGATAACGCTTTAAACTCAAAGCAGACAAACAGAATAATGGACAACTAAATCAAAGTGGAGGCAGGAATACGCAAACTCTATGCACTAACATCAGAAACACGAGCCGACCTACTCATTTTATAGCCAACTAAATAGGTTAAAACAGCAGCATGTTTATTCTTGCTTTTGTTTTTAGTCATCGGTGGACACCCTTTATACAATGCATCAGCTAAAGTACTAGCATTGTTTGCTTCCGTTATCTCGGGCATCGCCTCAAACTCACGTTGGTCAGACGAAAGTCCATAGAAAGCTCCATATAATGCGCCTGCCATGAACGTACGACCATCCGTGTCACCTCCAAGGGCAATGCAGCTCTGGACCATTCGCTTCCAAGGTGACATGATGTTATATCCAGACCACCACTGCAGGTTTCCACCCACGAATGCCATGACCATAGCCAGCGGAACAAAGTCCTGTGCGGCGCGCGAGTTAACATTCGGATACAGTCGGATAATGTCTGCCGGCGAACGCAGTACGCTATGGTTTACGTATAACGCATTGGCAGCTATCATGTTCTCTCCAAATGGTGGTTCGAGAGTTGAAGCATAATCCTCTAGCCGTTTCAAAAAGGTCGTCACTGAAGCTGTGCGGGCGCTATCACACGCTTCCTGTAAACCAAAGGCAAACAGCACAGCTCCATCAATCCCCAAACGATGCGCATGTGTGATGGCTACACACTTCTCGACTTCTCTCCGGAGGAAGCAACTAGGTTCGCGGCAGTAGTACAAAGCCACCGCTGCAGCCATCACTGCTCCGTGATACCCGTGAGAGCCCTACCCACCGTGCGCACTTCTTGCAGGCCCACAAACGTAAGCTTCGTCATCTCGTCGAAGAGCAAAGTTGCTCTCGCTGCTTGTAGCATTCCATCGCCGATGAAACTCTTTCAATAAACGCTCCATGTGCTTACTACCCCCAAAGTAGTTGGATGATCCTAACGCTTTACCCAGTCCATCGGCTATATAGTCACGCTCGACTGTATAGCAACCTACAGTTACTTCGAGAACCACCAGAGCAACTGTTCCACTAAACCCACAACGCACATAACAAGGATCCTTGGCCACATCAGCACACCGCTCATGAACTTCTCTCAAGGTTGGTAAATGGCTTCTGTAGAAGGGTGTATTGAACAGACGACCAAAGCTGCTGGCAACAACACTCCCCACGAGGCAACCTTTTAACCTATCGTGCAATCCACCTTGCCAGTCACCTTGCCAGATAATGTGCTGAATGGCATCCATTGTTCCGGGCGATGGTGGTGGCGATGTCGATGTTGATGATAAACGAACATTTTCGGGTTCACATCCAGACATGTTCTATCGACTACTATATAAACTGCAGCAAAACTGACAAAACTTCAGTTGCACGTTTCGTTTTCCTAACTGTTTCTTAGCTGTCTAAATTGCGTCCGTTTATATATCCTGCATTACCATGGACCCTGCTGAGGAAAGGCGTCGAGCGATATGCGTTGTCATTACGATTGCTTTTTTTGGTAGTCTGCTAGCACTTGTTCTGATTTTATCGGGCATTACTTTTGGAACCGTCACCACTTTTCTACCCTATCGGCCATCAGCCGCCGCCAGTATCGACGAAGCCAACACCACCCTGGACTTTACTTTCAATAACGACACAATGCCAACATTCAAGTTCATGATCAAAGGGCTATGGTACGTAACCGTATGGCACAGTAGTAAAGTCATCTAAGATGCGTCGTTTGTCGTACGTCTTTTTGAACCGCTTTGTCATAGGCACATCTTGGATTTCATATGTCCGTTTCTTCCGGCGAATAGTACTACCATATGTGACGGAAAGGGACTCGGGCTGAACGTTACCATGAGCGCTATCGGAGGCGGTCTCATCTTGGAGAGGTTGGGTTGCGATTTTCAACATCGAATCAAAATTCAACACCGTTCCTGTAAGTTTATTAATTTCAAATCCTTTGATTTTACAGACCTCCTGCCCAGATGCCGTAACGTAGCTGTAAGATTTTGGACCAGTACTACAGAAGCGCGTAATGAAGTCGTCCTCGGCCAGCTCATTACTTAACATCCCCAGAGTGGACCCGGTTTCAAACGGCTCATCACCTGGACGCTGAACAAAGATAATGCTGTCCTACAATTTAAAAACTATGTTTTTTCTCGTTTCTTCTAGTTTCATATGCTTTACGCTAATGCTTTAGCTCTTACCGTATCAAAGTATAGTAATCGCTCGCCAGCTCTTTGCATGAATTTCAATAAATGTAATCTTGCGTGTGCCGTTGTAAACCTGACAGCAAAAAATAAGTACAAGTCTAATTTACCTGATTTAAATGAAGCACTAAAACTGAAACTATTATCACTTACGCTGCTAGAACCACGTTCGTTTTCGGGTTAGTCGGAACCATAGCATCCTTCCTCGTGTACATTATTTGTACAACGTCATCCGAAAATACGTCATAATCATGGATTTCAGATTCTGAAGACGTTAAATAGTGCAGAAAATCCTTCACAGTGTTCACGAAAACTGTGCTGAGAAGGTTATTTCTCATTCCCAGCCGGCCCCAAAAGCTGTAAACACCATAGCATAAATTACTAATACTACAACTACTCTTAGTGTATGACCGACACCAAACAAACAAAAAAAATCAAGCACTAACCTGTTCAGGCACAACTTAGCGAGCTGCCGCAGTCCCGGATTCCAGCTTATTTTGGAACCGTCCAACCGGATGCCTTCCGTTTGGAAAAAGTGGTCCAGAAACGCATCTTGCTGCTCTGGAGTTTTAATATCAGCCGGCCAGCCAGAAGCTTGCACTTTAAGCGCCAGGAACAAATCAATATAATCAGCAAAAAAGCGCTCTCTGCTGTCGGGATAGTGCCATACTTCGTGAATTTCCATTAGTTCATAACCATTTTTCACGGCTTCTTGTAGTTCTAGTGTGCACCAAGTCCCCGTCAGAGCTCTTTGCTCCGGATCCTCGTGCGTGCAAACTTGCTGATTCTTTTCTTCAGCGCAGGTGCGGCATAACGTGAAAATCAGTTTATCGAAATGCGCCGGTAATATCGGTATCATCAGGTTGCGAGGCGGTAATATTTTGCAATGCATAATTCCGAAATAGTTATCCAAGGTTTTAAAATTATTAGTAATTCTTTTATGCTTGCCAACCGGATAGCGCTTGTTTTTATTGACATATGGATATTCGGATACAACATCCAAGTACATTATCTTCTCTCCAGGCTTGACCTTATAGTCTAACACTAGGGCATTTACTCGTCCTCCGAACAATGCTTTTCTCGGGTCAAGCGGTTCAACAATCCGTATGTTCTTTATAGCAGTAGCAAAATTAGCGTCGTTTTTAATGCGACTGTCATATTCACATTCCCAAACGCTCACAATATTGATTTTAAGCTTTTTCAACATTCCTTCGCGCCGTACGGTTCGCTCGTACAACTCACCCATTGTGGCGTCCTGATGCGGGTGGCGTGTACTTGGATTCGTGCATATTGGATGGCCATGGTGCACGCACCCATAAAATTCATATGCAGTTCGACTTTCCAGATGGTACCCATCAATGAATAATGCACCAATTTTGAATTCTCGCTCCAGTTCAATACCTTGGCTCTGACTTATACACTGTAACCATGAATTGGCTTTATTGGAGGATATTCTGTTGCTGGGCATACGAATAACCTCAACTTCCAAAGGCTTTAGCAGCCTGGACCTCCAAAAATAATGACAAACACTTGGAAGGGTTAAACCGGATTGAAAAATACATAGTCCATCCGTAATTTTGAAAAAAAGTTCGCGCAGCTGCATTGCACAACAACGTAGCGTGGTCACGTCTTGGTGGCAATAGGCAGCCAGTTCCTTGTTGACGTCATACAATCCTCTTTTTAAAGCTTTGTCTTCATTATAGAATTCCATAAATGCATGTTTTCTTTATCGCTCATAAATCGGTAGTTGAACTTTTCAATGTCCGGATAGTCAATAACTGTGTTCCAAAATTGTGGTCGGTTCAGGACATGTGGAAATTTACCTTTAGTTTCCTCAACGGCGAATGATTTCGCCCAGTTGTCCAATGACAAAGGAACATAATTGAGCGTATCCCGAAAGTTAATGCCAAACTCCCGATCGCGCAGGTGCGTGATTTGGGAACCTTTCATGATAACGTCAGGCGCTTGACCTTTCTGAAGCAGCCATTTTAAAATAAAATAGCCATCGAACCTAGAAAGCCCACCACTTTATCCGTAAGCTGTATACTTTCAACGTATTTCATGTTGTGTGAAACAGAAGAAGAACTAAAATTTCTTACCCTCTAAAGTTATGTGCCAAACAAAAGAATCCAGCATGCTTTTCTTGGAAAATAAATTCACAGACATCGCCTGCAATGTCTTTGCCAATGTTGCTGATGTCCTCGGGAAATTGGCGGGTTTCAATGGGCTTTCCATCTTCTTGCACTTGTATTACACAAAATTTGGGATGTGCTTTCCACTACCGTCGGGGTACGTCTCGAAATCAAAGTACATGAAACTAGCAGATTTGTGCTTGGCTAATACTTTGTCGTCAAGTTTCTCGGGTTTAATATAGCAGTCATGGTGCTCCGGTAATACATAACACAGGCAAACCGAACAATAAATTTCGCCGCATACATGGTCTGTCCCGTATCCTCGTTTCACGTTCGTCTTTATGAATGCTGAGCAATCTATGCAGACCTTGAATTTTTCGCAAATGCTTTTCTTTTTGTTATGGTTTGTGCTTTTCGCTGTCTTTGCAAGGTGGTGGTTAAAACACTCGTTGTTTCTAAAGCCCGTTCGATTGCATCCCGCACAGTATCGCGCAAAGTTTGCTTCGAGCTCACACCTTTCGCGCAAGCAAAGCTTGCAGGTATATTTACAGCGATGATCACCTTCGTGAGAGTACCCCTGATTACAATGAAAACACCATTTGCTTTTTTCGTACCACCCTTGAAGAGATGTTAAAACGTCAAAATGGTTGGCATAATACAATAGCATTAAGCGTTTTTCCCTGAATTCGCCAGCAAAGATAATGCTGTTAAGCTGTTCCAGTCCAACAATTATGATTTGATAATCGCTTAGTAACTTTTGAAAAGTCTCTACGTCGTCCAGGCTGTAGCGCCGCTCCGTCAGGCCTGCAGCTATTACCAGCTGTTTCGCCAATAATGTCTGCTGATCCTTATGCTGCTTTTCTGGGTGCTTATGTGCCCTGGTGTCACGTAGCGTTGAATACAGCTGCAGATCGTCATCTGCTAAGGCTTTAGCCGTTACTAGGGACCGTGGTAAACATAAATTATCGTCGTTCTTTATGCGCACGATAGACATCTTGTTTTTCAGTAGCCTTTTAACGCTTTCAGGAATCACTAGATTGTCATTACCTCCACCATCCGGCGTTTCTGTGTACTGGACTTCAATCCTGAAGCTTTCATCCAAGCGAAAGCTTGTTGAACTTTGCATCACCCGTTCCACGCGCGCCATGATACGATCCACAGTTAGTTCGTCCCGCCGCATTAACGGTGTCCAAATAGGAATCTTCTTTCGCAAATGATCGCTGTATAATTGCACGCGTACCATATACCAAGGCTGAATTTTGTCTACCAAAATTCTGTTAAGCAGTTCTTCAAAAATGCTTTCTATTACTCCACAGAGGCGTGAAAACGGAACATCAAACAACTCGGGCGCGATGCGGCACTGAAAAACCGCAAGTGCAGTCTTCCATTTCTGAGAATAAGTATCTGCTACCTGCTCAAGTAGCAGATTATCTTCTGAAATGCTAGGGATGCTACCTAAGCCATCTTCTTCTTCTTCTTCTTCGTGGTTGTCAGAATGCTCATCCATTTTTCGCTCAATAAACACAACTTGTAATGTGTACACAGCTAATGAACTCAAGAGACTCCTTCAAATTATGATTACCCTGCTGAACGACGTTCACGGCTTTATATACTTGTTATTCTTATTAAAATCGGTCAAGTTCCAACACGCCTTAACTATTAACAGCAAATCGTTATCAAGGACTGCCCACAACCCGTGAAAAAAAGCTAACTGAAGACAAAGTCTATGACCAAAGGTTACAAATAAAGCTAAAACATTTTTTTCCACGAATATAAGAATACAAAAATTTTTGGCTTAAAATATGATTGAAAAGTTTTTTGTTTTAAAATAAGGCGAAAAAATTTTTCGCATTAAAATAAGGCAGAAAATGTTTTTCGGGTACAAATAACGCTAATAAGATTCACACTAAATACGAATACAAACATTTTTGGGCTTACAGTTAGATCGAAAAGTTTCTCGTTTCAATATAAGGCTCAAAAGCTTTTCGCATTAAAATGAGCGTGAAAGGTTTTTCGCAATAAATTAAGTGTTCAACGTTTTTAAACTTAAAATTAGGTGAAAAAGTTTTTCGGTGTAAAATAGGGCGGAAAAAGTTTATCGCATTAAAAGAAGCGTAAAAAGTTTTTTGCATTAAATTATGTGTACAAAGTTTTTTGCATTAAATTACGTGTAAATAGTTTTTCGGTGTAAAATAGGGCGGAAAAAGTTTTTCGCATTAAAATAAGCGTAAAAAGTTTTTTGCATTAAATTATGTGTACAAAGTTTTTTGCATTAAATTATGTGTACAAAGTTTTTTGCATTAAATTATGTGTAAAAAGTTTTTCGGTGTAAATAGGGCGGAAAAAGTTTTTCACATTAAAATAAGCGTAAAAAATTTTTTGCATTAAATTATGTGTACAAAGTTTTTTCCATTAAATTATGTGTAAAAAGTTTTTCGGTGTAAAATAGGGCGGAAAAAGTTTTTCGCATTAAAATAAGCGTAAAAAGTTTTTTTGCATTAAATTATGTGTAAAAAGTTTTTCGGTGTAAATAGGGCGGAAAAAGTTTTTCGCATTAAAATAAGCGTAAAAAGTTTTTTGCATTAAATTATGTGTACAAAGTTTTTTGCATTAAATTATGTGTAAAAAGTTTTTTGCATTAAATTATGTGTAAAAAGTCTTATCAGCGTCCCACATCTAAAAGCCGGTCGAGACGAGTATATTACTACCCATGCTTCATGTTCGATTTTGTGGAGCTGTATATGGACTGCATCCGTGACATTGGCAGCGCATATCCGGCATTGTATGATCCATGGAGCGACATAAACAGAAAGGCCTTGGTATGTGTTTGACATGCTAACATGCTAATGTCTTAGGTTACAGCTAGTTAACTTGTTTTATTTGATTTTTGAAAACATCTGCACCATGTTGCCTCGTGTACCGCTTTAACATAAAATAAATTTAATTGATGTACTGAGTACTCCTAGCAGTTTGTCTTAAATGCAGATTAGGGTGCATATGCTGACATTTTTGCTGGTGCTTATTCCCGGTTTCATCCTAATTGCATTCCTTGCGCGTCAACAACAATCAGAATTCGGTAAAATGCGTCGCTTGCAGAAAAGCAGCAGTGCGACAGTGTCTACCAGTAAATCCTCCTCACAACATGCGATCAACATCATCTTGCTGAGCAGCGCGCTGCTCTTTCTCCTTACGCGCACCCCGAAGTTTTTCAACTTGTGTGCCGAGGTGCTGGTGTCTTCTGGTTATATAACTGTCGAAGGTTTTTCCTTTTACGACTTCCTGCACCCAATCGTCTTGGTAACAATACTCATGGGTTATTCCGTGAATTTCTACCTGTATTTGTTGACGGAGCGTCAATATCGGCGGCGTTTTGTCGAATCGGTCGCCCGGCCAGTGCACCAATGCTTCGTTACGATGTTCACCAGCGAAACTACTCAGCGACGGTCTGCAAGGTGGAGTCGCATTCCGAGCCACGTGACAAACACAACAGCGCTGTGACCATACCCTTCTAACTTTACCGGTATCGAAGGTCTAGTCGCATACAGTCGGTACATATAAGAATATGTACAGACTGTATGCGCTAACCGAACAAAGGCTGGTACTAGAAGAATTGTAAGAACAAGAAGAACCAGGAGATAGAATGTTATTTTTCTTCTTAATAACCTTTCAAAAAATTAATATACTAGTTATTTTAGTACTTAATAAAATAAACAAAAGAATTTTTTTTTATAATTTTTGCATTATTTATTGGAAATATTCACAATATAATTCATCATAACGTAAAGCAAATTTTAGTTTTTTCAAGGATATCCAATAATGGATGAATCTTATTAACACTTTTTCTACCATTTATATCTCAGTTTTTTTTATATTATATAAAAAACTTTTTATCTTTTACATTACCTCTTTTCTACCCTACTCATACATACTAAAAGATAATTCTCTCAACCCCCTCACTCTTTCTCTTAAAATGTAAAGTGCCGTATTTTTCCTCTTAAAAATAATTCTCTCCCCTTTCCTTTCCTTTGTGATTTAAAATTTTTGTTTTTAATACAGTAATTCGACCAAAAAAGTAAGTTTACAGTACTCGTGTTTTCGGAAAATTTTATGACCATAAGGCAAGTACGGCGATAGTCTGCCAAATCGAAAGAGATGTCCGGACATCCTGGCTCAGGGAGGTACTATGTAGGTAGTAACATGCCGCACGCACGGGAAGATGGCACAAGAAGTGCCATCTTCCCATGCTTTAGCAAAAACAAATTGCAAAAATCACATTACTCCGCGAGCATAAGGTAAAAGAGATGTAACATCATCCTTCTTGTTGTACTCTGTACAGCACGACAGAAAATGATTTTAGTTCACCCAAATTAATATAATAAAATGCATTTTTGCAAGTGGCAGATGAGTGGTTGTGTCATCGCTTCTGCCCGGCTTCAACAGGAAAGATTTCATTGATCATCCTCCAATTTATCTTCCTGCCGGCTACACGCACAGTGCAGCCATCGGTTACCAGCCACCCTATGTGGCGAGCGACAAACCTGCTGATCTCATGGGGTAGTACTAACGAATGTTTTTGTCGCCAGTTCAACGGGTCGCTTTCGTAAAAACGCTTAATAATATTGTCTCTAAAATATCTCCAAATCAACGCGCATTTTCCTTCATTTTCCCTACAGTTTCCTTCATTTTCATTCTGGTGTATTTTCTATGTCGGGCTTGTTATTTTTGCCCCTGGATGGCAAATTTCCCGCCATCCAGTATGGAGGGTGGCTACGGGACCTTAGTCTGGTAGACGTTTGTTCTCCAGAGGCTGTGTGGTGGCAGCTGTCCCGTAGACATCCAGCGACACACCAGTGGAGTACCTGTAAGTCTCCAGCCTCAGTTATTTTCATTGCAAACGCTTCTTGGCGACCGCTAACATTATGCCATCGTACTCCTGTTCTGGCTGCGGTAAACTGTTGCAGGGATGGGGAACCCACAGACGTTTGTGTCCCAGAACCCTGTCGCAAGACCCCGAACTGATTCCAGTCCGAACTCAACAGCCTCCTGCTCCAGCATCTTCCGCGCCGACGACAGTAAACCCAACCGCTGATTCTGCTGCACGCAGGCCAACGCAGTCGAAAGAGCGCATTACCCGCAGGGTTCCACATGGAGCCCGTCGGGCTGTGGCTGCGTCCTTCGAAAAAGCCATCCAGAATGCCGTGCAGCATAACGATGAGCAACACTGGATAGCGCTCCTGTCTTTTGCACCGCAGGTTTTAGCTATTCCTGAAACCCCTAACGGTGCCCGCAAAGTCTCACTCGCCACTTTGATGAAACAAGCGGTAGCGGACTACGAAAGTGGGAAGAAACGTCCTCCGCTAAGCAGAAAACGGAAGAAGCCCAAGAGGCCTAATGATCTCAACAGCGACCTGGTGCGACGTGTAGGAACTAAAATCGATGATGGCGACTGTTCCGGGGCTGTTCGCATCCTGATGTCCACCGATGCAATAGCAGAAACGTCGCGCGAGGTCCTGGACATCATGGCAGCCAAACATCCCGAGTCTCCATTACCCGACAGACCCACAACCACCGCATTGGCACCTTCAGTTACTGCAGATGAAGTGCGTCAAGCAATACTGAGTTTCCGACGCGGGTCTGCTGCAGGACCGGACGGGCTTTTACCTCAGCATTTACTCGCCATGATGGGGAAGGTTCAAGATGACGTATCGGCTAGTTTCTGCAAAAACCTGGCTCTGATGCTAGACCTTGTCATCCAAGGAAATATTCCTGACGCCGTTCGCCCGCATTTCTTTGGTGCAAAACTTATCGCCCTGCGAAAAAAGGACGGCGGTCTGAGACCCATTGCCGTAGGGAACACTCTTCGGCGCCTAGCAGCAAAAGTTATTTGTCGTCGCGTCAAAGAACGTTCCACAGCGGCCCTTCAGCCAAGCCAGCTGGGATTCGGGATCAACGGGGGTGCTGAAGCGATCGTGCATTCTGCTCGGGAATTTTTGAACAGCGATTCAGACCACGTGAAAGTTCTTCTGAAGATAGATCTGAAAAACGCCTTTAACTGTATTTCCCGCGCCACTGTCATGGAGGTTGCCAGCATATACCTGCCTGAATACGCCAATTATCTGTATGCGTGCTACGGCCACTACTCTGACCTCTACCTCGACGACGAAATTCTGTCCTCGCAGAGCGGTGTCCACCAAGGTGATCCACTTGGCCCACTTTTGTTTTCCTAGGGAATCCTGCCGATAACATCCGCTCTCAAAGCTGGTTTTAACGCGTGGTTTCTCGACGACGGAACCTTGGGTGGAAGTGTCGAAACAGTCGCAACCGACTTTCAGACCGTCATTGACGCTTCACATGCATGCGGACTGAGCGTCAACATGTCTAAGTGCGAGATTTTTGTCAGCGGAGGCACAGCGGAAGAACAAGAAGCAGCTATCAAAACTTTCTTGGGTCTTTTCCCAACTGTATCAGTCGCTGTGGCGGAAGATTTGTGCTTGTTGGGTGCACCACTGATGAAATGCGGCATCAAGTCAGCAGTACAGCAGAAAACGGAAGTTATGCGTCTAATAGCCAGTCGTCTGGAATTAATACCCAAACATCAAGCGTTTTCCCTTCTAAAGTGCAGTCTCAGCGCGCCAAAGGTCATTCACCTTTTGCGTTGTTGCCCATCTTTCGAGGCTCGGGATAGCCTCTGCGAGTTCGACGAAGTCTTAAGAGTGTCGCTGGAATCAATCTGTAATGTTCGTTTGGACACAACCGCGTGGCGTCAAGCTTCACTGCCAGTGCGCTGTGGTGGTCTCGGTATCCGACGGGTAGAAGAATTATCTTTGCCGGCTTATCTAGCCTCGATTCACGCTACCCAAGGTCTGGTTTCCCGACTACTGCCGCACCAAGGAGGAGTTAATGTGTCAGATCACGTTGCCCTTTGGAGGTACCTCTCCGACGACGCATCGCCTCCGTTGCCAGAAAGCCGAAATTCCCAACGCGCATGGGACACACCATACTGTATGGCCGAACAGGCAACTCTGCTGCACGAGGCTGTAGATCCCACCACTAAAGCCCGACTACTGGCTTCCGCAACCCCAGAATCAGGCTATTGGACGCACGCACTTCCCTCGTCCTCAATTGGCAACCTCCTAGATGACGAGTCGTTTCGGATCGCCGTCGCAATTAGACTTGGCGCACCAGCGTCATCCGATCACCGGTGCAGGTGCGGAAGTGATGTCACCGCGGATGGCCATCATGGTTTAAGTTGCAAGTTTTCGGCGGGTAGACGGCCTAGACACGACTGCATCAACGATATCTTGCGCCGGGCACTGGGTTCGGCAGGCATCCCCGCTCGAACGGAACCAAGAGGCATGCACCATGAAAACGGAACGGGCCCTGACGGAATCACCACCTTTCCATGGACAAGGGGACTCTGTCTGGCATGGGACGTAACAGTTGTTGATACGGTCGCCCGTTCTTATTTGGAACACACAAGCGTGAAGGCCGGAGCGGCAGCGGATCAGGCTGAAGCTGAGAAAGTATTGAAATACAGCTTCCTGACAGGACGATACGAGTTTGCCGCTGTCGGCTTCGAGACATTCGGTAGTTTTGGTACATCTGCCAAGCCATTTGTTAATGAGATTGGGAAGAGAATTTCGCTACAAACCGGCGAAATTCGCAGCCTCGAGTATTTAAAACAGAATATTTCTTTGGCAATTCAAAGGGGTAACGCTGCTTCTATAATTGGTACTGTTGAAAACGTTGTTTCTTTTAATCGCAAATAGACCTTGATATTGTTATCGTGCCATGGAAATAAAGTACATTCAACACGAATGTTACTGGTAGTGGTACTATGAAATGGTACTGGTACTGGTAGTAAAAATGGTGCTGTTACTGGTAGTGGTACTGGTTGTGTTAGTGGTATCTTAGAACACGAAAATACACTACGGTTGAATCGACCGCATACGAAATCACTTTCTGGCAGAAACGACCGGATTTTAAAATTACACTCTGCCAGAAACGATTGGACACGAAATTACATTCATTCGTTTTGTTTGCGACTGAAACAGCGAAAAAAATTGGTAGGGCACAATTTACGGCGGTCGTCTCAGACGACCGGTCGTTTTGGACGGTTACACATGTACAAAAAAATCCAGGAGACAAACAAATTTTGCGTAAGTAATAGCAATGCATCAGCGGGCCGCGTCATTTGGCGGCTGTGTTAATCATAGCTAACAGGAAAATTAAGGACTGAAATAGTTAATTTTCCACAGAAAGCTGCATAGGGTTATGATCATGACTCTCCGATATCCGTGTGGCTTCACCGCGACGCAGCGACGGAGGCAGATTTCGTGAGGCAGGATAATTGTGCTGGTCCGGAGGTAACAGTGCCGACGAGTAATGGTTTTGATGCTGGATGGCACATGTGGCACCTTTTGTAAAAACAAACAGAGTACTGGATCATATTTTCATACCGCAATCACAGCGAACACTAAACATCTTTAGACACCCTTTAGTCATGATTGATGAGTGATGGAGCTACATAAAATTTAACGCAGAGGTCATCAGTTTCGCTCGCCACCAAAACCGGAAGACATACAGACACCGGCTTAGAAACCCGTCTTCTGTGATTTTAATAATACTATAATGTCTGTCTCGCGGTGTCGTCCGTGATGGAACTGGTGAATTATCTACCGCATTTACAGATACCGTTGTCCTGCTCACGACTCACGAATGCATGCCGGCTACGCGTGTCAGCTAGTTTTGCCTGCGAGTGCTTTTGTACAGGATGCGCGCTAGGAAATGCAAGTGTTGCCACTGCCAACCGTGGCTTCGGGTAATTGCTCTGTCTGAATACATCGGTCGACAATTATGGGCAAGCGTGACGTCACCGGATAACGGTGTCGACCAGGTGTCACACTGGCGGTATCCTTAAAGAACGGTAGGTCGACCCACGGCCGTTGCGAGCTCTTGGGTAAGATAAGGCATACAGCGGCGCGTTTGGTGCCAGTTTCAAAATGGCCTGCAATTATCAGAAATCGTAAAAAAGTGGCTCGGAAATCCGCTTTCCCACACTTTTATAGTATGTTTAAAATATTATGTAAATATTTTTTATATCATAATTATATAATAGATTTGGCGATTTCTTCGCGCCCAGCGAGAAATTTCGGGCACGTAATTTTCACTTTTACTTGTAACCTTGCAACGGCCGTGCCGATGTCTAGCCGTCTTTACAGTGCGATTGCCCAGCAGACATTAAAGTTCTGCTACAGTATACCATTAGTAGGTGTCGCTATGTGGCTACAGGCGAATAATGGTATTGCAGTGAAGCGACAGATTTTACCTGTGGTACGAAACATCCCATATATATGGATAGCGCAGACGCCCGGGCGCCCAGCTTGATTGTGACGTGGAAGCGCAGAGATCTGGAGCTTCATACCGCAGAAGTCTTGGTCCGGACAGGAGGAGACTGCGCGCACGCTCCGTAGTGAGCCCCGCTGTCTTAGCCATATCAACTAGGTGATAATTCTCGCCAAAGAAACTGTCATAGGTATTTTCTTCCGGCTCCCCATGACTGATGGGATCTAAAACGTTGCTGCCACGTGATCCTGAAAGCATCGGCATGCAGATAAACGGCACCGGGAAGCGAAAAATGGAACATACCAGCGTGTGTAACTGTATACGGATATGGTAAAATTTTCAGATTTTCACTGAAAAATTGTTAAAAGAAAGAAAGCAACAACTTAGTCTGCGTTAAAATTTGTTGCATTTTGCCATGTTCGGTTTTTGAACGCCACGTTAAAACACCCAATGTTTAGTAGTAAAAGAATTTTCAAACTTGTAAGCGGCAGCGTTTTACCCGTGATAAATATTCAGAAACTGGGATGGCGAAAATAAGAAATCGATTAGGTGATGCAGGTATAGTACAGTTTTGACAGTTGATTACTCCGCGAGGCCGCAACGTGACTGATGGAGCCTACATATCATTGCGCAACATAAGCGGTGCACTACCGCACGAAGAATTCCGGCTTCCGCACGCATAATTATCTACTTTGATAAAAAATTTAAGAGCAGCATCGATGCACCTACTGGGAGGCTGTATCCCGGAATTCGGGTCCATGACAGATTCAAATTGCGAAATGTGATTAGGAGCGTTTGTAACTGATCCTTCTTCGATGGTACATGCAGGTAAAACGACATTCGATGTCGCTCTTTCGCCCTGACTTTGGGTAGGGGTATGATCAAAATAGGAACGCGAGGAATTTTGGCGTTTGCTGCTTGAATCACCGCTTTGCAGGGCCATCAAGCGTGCCGACCGACGGCAACCGCCACCGCTGTTTTGAACCTTTTTTGCTCGCGGCGCTTGAGCTCGCTGCTTTTCATCCACCAATTTAAGGTTGGACCGAAACGCAGAATCCGCGTGAATCCGTTTCCCATTGATTTCTGTAAGACAGCAAAATTATCTTCATGGTTTTGGAGATCGTTGCTGATGAATGCGATCGCGAAGGCCGAGCTGTGTAACGGACCACGGCTAAGCGCCACACTCGCTAGTCGCTACGGTTCCCGTGGCGGTGCTGGTGTTAGTGGTGTACCATTTACTTACACGGTTTGCTGTGATAAGCCCATACAGTATACAAAATAGGAGTTGCACAATTCTAATTGAAGCTAAACTGCCATATTGCCAGTTTACTGTGAACCCTGTTCAATCAAAAAAGTTTATGTTATTTTCATAGTCACGATGCGCTCTCATATCTAGTGTTGGGCCGGCCCGGCCCAGGGCCGAGGCCCGAACGGCCCGGGCCGTGGCCCGTTGTGGACGTTAAATATTGAAAAAGACGTGGAAAAACAAAAAATTTCATTGGGATTTATTGAAATTTAGTAGTTTTCGATGAGTGTTTCTTAATTTTCACAGCATTAAACGTTTCTACGTGAAAATCTGTCTTTTTTCCGTTGACATACCCGCTGTAGCCGCTTGCATAATGACATCCGGGAATGAAATAATATTACTGTGCTGCAAGACGGCCCGGAGACATGTCGGGCCGCAGCCCGGATCGGCCCGCGGCCCGGACCGTGTAAACGACGGGCCGGGCCGACCCAACACTACTCATATCATGCGTACCGGCTGGGCTCTCTCCGGAATCCACGTTCGTGGCTTTTTCTTTGACGGCCGGTGCAGACAAACGAATACCATTGGTCTCAACATTTCCCGGTTGCTGAGCGACCCAGCCTTGCTCGGACTTATTCGATTCCTGTCCGGCAGCTTCCGCCTTCTCTGAATATATCGGATGTGACATCTCCAAAGTGGCCAATTTTAACTGTTGATAAGTTTGGTCAGTGTTATCATTATGCGAGTACAAACTTGGGTCAGTGTTATGGGTACGAAAACGAACATCCATGGTGCTTGCGTCGTAGTTACGCGCATAAGTATGATCGAGAGCTGGATAACATGACTGCATGTCTTCGGCGCCTAGGTCAGTATGTTGCTCTACGATCAACCACGCCGCGCATTGGCCCGCTTGTACCGTGTCGCTACCGCCGTCCTCATTAACTTCCGATGTCTGAGCTACCATGTCTTTCTGGACACTTCCCGGTTCCAGTATGCTTTCCCCGTCCGACTCCGTGTTGCTCAGCGGAGACTCATCCGGTGCGCCCGCCTCTTGCTCGGCCGATTTAAGTATTAGTGTGACGCTCTGGTGTAGTGCAGCTTGTGCTCGTAGCTCTTGGTAACTGTGCTGTGCGCGGCCTTGAGGGATTATCCCATTCTGCAGCAACAAAGATATAAAAGAGTTATCCGTTAGGCCGAACTTCTTCTGGATGCACTGCCGACTGTGGCCCACTTTAAAGCAGTCCAAAATTTCGTTTTCTAGCTCACGGCTGATAGTAATCTTATCCAGCGCGGTAGTACTTCGTTTGGCGTACTGGAGTACAGCCTTAGCGACGTTGGAGTCTACGTTAACCTCGCGAACAATGTCCGTCATGGAGCACCCACGATCAAACAGTTGGATGATGGATTTTTTTTGCTTTTTCGTAACGCCGGCCATTTGTAGCGCGCTTCTCACGGTGGTCGCGGGAATGTTGAGCTGCTTCGCAATTTGTTGTGGGCCGTGCTGTCCTTCGCGTACCAGCTGCACGATCTTGTTTTTGTGCTTCTCGGGCTGTGTCGTTTTTCGACTAATTTTTGCTTTTGTAAGAAATCTTTTCAGTGTATGAAAACTGATACCCATGCGATCCGCGATTTGTTTCCGAGTGCAGCCATCATTACGTAATTGGCAAATTAACCGTCTTTTTTCTTCATCCATTCCTTCTTCGTGTAGTAATTTTTGTATCAACTGGTACCGCCACCAATGGTTGGCCTTTACAGAAAACACCTTAACAAATCTAAAACATGGAACGGATATCTTAATAAATTCCCAATAAAATATTTCCAAGACTCAGTAATAAATACAAAGTACATACATAAATAATCTTACAATGCACACAACAAGGTTCGTTTTAAATTTTTAAATGAAATGGCATCCACTGATTTTAAAAGAAAACGACTGACGCCGGCTTTTTTAAAATAATTATTTTTCGACATTCAGTTTCGATAATGTTGATCGTCGTGATTTGAACCGTGATCTGATTGCATCAGACTACAAGCCGGTCCGGAGTTAGAGCACGATAGAGAACAGCGAACAATGTAAATTAATGAGATGCGCCAACTGTAGTGCAGTGGCTATCGACTAAGCGCTAACATCGCGCTTATTATGCGTTAGCTGTTCTTTATCGTGCTCTAACTCCGGACCGGCTTGTACATCCGGTCAGCAGATATTTGAATGTTTGAATGCACCTGGAAGCAACTGACGATGAAGGTTATGATGCCAAGTCTCTTTTCACCGGCGAAATTGGATTCGGCTCTGTGAAAAGTGTAACTTTTACACAGAGGAGAGTGCTTGAAGGAGAATTCCAAAGTGTTATAGTCAATTTTCTGAGACGTCGATAACAGTCAGTGTTTAAGTACCCTTAAAATTTTCTCAGTAACCCTCAAGCAGTAAGGAAACGGATGGGCTAGTAAAGTAACGGCAAAAAGGCCAATTCTACGCTATAGCATACATTCAGGATACAAACCGACAGCCCCGGAAACAGGGTAGAAACAACTTCATGCGGAAATCATACGTACATTTAACAATACTATTAGCAAATTATGCAATAAAACCGTGCTTCAATTACCGATCATATTCTCTGGCATAAAATATTTTGATTGCCGCCTTGAATGTTCCATCACGACGCAGCTTTGGAAAATTCCGATTCCCGGTAGGTGTGTCAAAAAGCTCTTTTAATTTTACAGCAGTCCCAGCCTCATGCGCTTTCGGCCGGTTAGCTATATCCGCTATACATGGATCGCAAAATCGCTCCATGGCTAGCGGTTACTTCTGCTGCTTAGATTTCGGCTTTTTTTGCTTATTTCGGCCAAACGTTTTTTGGCCGCCGTTCACTGCGGCCTTTGCCTGCGTTCACTTCCGCCACATTCTACTGTATTTCCGCTCATACGCTCCCCTACCGCATACTTCGCCTACGTTCCACCGAAATCAGCTTTCAACGATAAACCATATAATTATTATTATATCGATAATATAACAAATTGTTGAAAACCACAATTAATTTTAAGTGCCACACTTTTAGTTTTATTATCCGTATACAGTAGCGATCGTCGCTCACAAAAATACATCAGAATGGGACCGTGGATAACATCCTCTTAGGATTGCCGCGAGTAATCTCTGTACTGAAACGGGCCCCTGATTCAAAAACGGCCACTAGTGTGCGTACTTGGAAAGACGGAGCAAGCAGTCCACACTTCGCCACCTCTTCTTAAGATATTTTTAATTTTTAAAAAAAATATTATTTGAAAATTTACAACGTTGGTAGACTCAATAAATCATAAAGAAGCGAGCGCATTTGTATTACAGATGGTGTAATTTTCATTACAGATATTCTACGATAGAAGAACTAAGATTCGTGGAATAAGGGAAACCACTGATTCACAACATTCTTTAATTTGATTTGAAAATCAGCGGCGAACTCAAGGGCAGTGGGCACGGGTGCAGATGCCCTAGAATCATTTGAAAAAGTAGATACATACTTCAAAATATCAACTTGGGGCGTATCGCTTAAAAATCTCATTCAGTTTTGAAAAAAAAACAAAAAATTACATGTCAGGCGAATTTATAGAAATTTGTGCAGTATAACGTTTACGAGCTTCGCGCTCCGAGTGGAAAGGAGCTATTTGGTGTACATAGATAAATGTAGTATGCTTCCGAGCGAAATGTACAGAGGTAAACGATAGAGCATACTTTAAAATATAAGAATCACTAGCGTTTGGGAGAAAACAATCAATGTGAAAATTACTGCGAATTTTTTTTCTCTGCAGTGACAACTTGACTGACTCAACCTCTGCAGGCACAGAATTCATCATATTCCATAACACAGACACGCGTGCTACTGAGTACGTTACCCGGTTATTGATGAGCCATCCTTCAATAAGTGATTTTCCGTAATTCGAAATAATTTAATCAATTTTATAAAATCTTTGTAAAAGGGTTTACTATATTTTATAGAATTTACTTTTTTATGGAAGCTGAAACATGCGTCGGCTTAGCGCTTAGTTTAAAAGCAAATTGAACCAGTTTAATTACATTCAAAAATTTTGGAAGCAGTTTTTGCAGCATATTATTTCCTTTTGGGTTCCTGGGTTCATAGTGCCTCTGTTCGCCCATGGGCGCTAAATTTGCCAGAGTTGGCAAATGCCATCACTTCTAGATG